AGTGTACTTATGTTTTTGTTTGAGCTTTACCAGTGAACTGGATTGTGACTATCAGGGGAGGAAGAGATCGCGTAGCGACAGAGGGTACAAGAGGGGTTGAGCCTGCCTGGGTTGCTGAAGGGCACGAACATATTTTGAGCCCTGCCAGAGGTCAGGATCAAGGGAAAGGCACACATTTTCTGTGATTAAACCCCTCCCCCTGCCCCCCCCCCCCTGCAAAATCCCCATATTTCTCTGATTTTTAAAATGAAACACCACTCAATAATATATAAAATTGAGTGGTGGTTCAGTTTAAATCACAGAAAAATGTGGATTTTTGAGGGGTTTTTTTAATCAGGAAATTTGGAGGGGGGGAGGTTATCAGAAAAAAAACAGGATCCCTGATTACAAGTCTGTATAGGGTTTGGCACATTTTGTCCAAATTTTCAACAGCCTTTTTCATGTGGGTATCTCAGTGTTTTGTTTTCCAGCTTCAGGCCAACATTGGACACTCAGACACTGCTGCACCTAAAATAGCAGATTCTTGTTCAAATTTTGGCCAACACGCACAATAAAGACTTGGCAAATATGCGTTAGTTTAGGGGTACCAAACTCATCAGGCCCACCCTGATCCATCATGCAGGGCCAGTCTGGTGCAGATGTCGCTTTGAGCATGCTCCCCTGACTGGCCCAGCACATGGCAGGCAGTATGCCTGGGCTCTGGCCCCATATGCAACATGTCCTGTGTACTGCATACAGACACCATTTCCAAACCCGCGTGCCACATGCAGCATGTCTGCTGGATCCATTTTCAAACACAAATGGCCCTAAAGGTGGCCATGATGCTCCCTGGTGGGCCACATGGCTCCTGATCTGTTCTGGCTCCCTTCTCCTTTTTCTCCTTCCTGCCATGCCTTGATGTAACTGGTTGATGGGTAATAAGGGAGGCTGCCCTTGGGTCCCAAATCAAGCCCCTGTCCATTTCTCAGCCAGCAATTCTCTCCCAGACCCTGCTGGTCCAAATCCCATCCCTCCAATGTTGAGCCCTCTTAGCTTATCCCTGCCATCAGGGCATGTGAAGTCTTAAAACTATTCATGGCCTCTGACCTACCCTACATCCATGCACATGCCTCACAGGCGTTACCAATGAATTGTTTCAGTGGGCACTTGGCCCCAGTTCAATATCAGGCCCCCTCAGGCCTCACCAGCACTCAGTGCCCCTGTTGGGGCCTCAGCCATCTCAGCCTCCATCCCTTTCCTTTGGCTGAGCCCTTTAGCTCAGGCCCACAGTTTGGGACCTAGCTTCTGGACTCGAGCCCCTGCCTCACCCTTGTAGGCTTCTGTCTCTGTCCCTGTATGCCCCAGGCCCTGGCTTTTACTCCTCTTGGGATGTGGGCCCCAAGCCCTGGCTTCCACCCCTCTCAGGCTCTGGCCTGAGCCTTCTTGGCCTCAGGCCACCTCTCCTATATCTCCCAGATAGGATTTGGCCCTCTCAGCCTCTGCCTGCCTTTCCCTTGATCCTGACCTCTGGCAAGGCTCAAAACATGCTTGTGCTCTTCGGAAACCCAGGCAGACTCAACCCCTCTTGTGCCCTCTGTCGCTACGCGATCTCCTGCTCCCCTGATAGTCACAATCCAGTTCACTGGTAAAGCTCAGACAAAAACATAAGTACACCGGCTGTAACTCAAACTCTTAGCCCACTGGCTGTATAACAAAACCCTACTCATCCTGAGACCTTGTCCCCTGCAAGCCCCCAGTTCCTTATTTGCAGTGCGCAGGTAAAACAGGATCTCTATCAGGCACCTTTCTACAGCCATCTCATGGGCTGCAGGGCAGACTACCTGCCTGGTCTCAGGCACTGACTTTATGTGCCTCCTAAGCCCTGCCTCTGCCAGCCAGGTGCCTCTGCAGCCACACACAGGGGTTTTCATTCTGGCTGTAATGACCAGCCAGTCCTCCTTTGCTGCCACTTAGCTATGTTGCCTGAAGCTCTTGACCCCTTAGGAGCCCAGACATCTGTCCCCAGGCATCTTACTATTGGCATCTGGCTACAAGTTTGTCTGTTTTCTAGCATTCGCCTGCTTTCTGGTGGCCAGGCCTCCCTGAGACAGTTCAGCCTGCTACAGTTTCCTCTTAAAGTAACAGGAGCCTTCTGGCTTCCTGTTGCACATCCCATGTGCTGCATACAGCACATGCCAAAGTAGCTCTGTGTTCCACAATGCAGCCTGCACCAGACCGGTTCCACATGCCACATTTACCACACGTGGCTGGTTTGGCACATATCTCATGTAGACTGCACACTGGTCCAGTGCAAGACCTACAAGCAGCACTGTGGTCCAGATCCAACCTGTGAGCTATATCTTTGATATCCCTGCTTTAGTCAATCATACATTTTAACTTTCAGTAGAGGACTATCTGAGTAAAACTGTATGACATCTGGAGTACAGAGGTTAGACTAGATGACTAAGGGATTTTTTTCTAAGTCTTGAATAAAAACTATGAATATAATTGCATGAATATATAATAGTAGCATATTTACTCAATACTGGATGAGGTTATTTTTTCCACTATTGACATTGGGAGAAAAGCTCCTCATCTTACATTAGCATACAAGGAAACCTTATTAAATACACTATCTATTATTAAACTGCTGCCAAAATCAGCATGTGCTCAGCAATGAAATCAACTATAAAGTTGATTAAATGCAGCCAACACTGAGCATGACCATAACGCACATGGCCTATACTGGATAAAGATGCTGAAGGAAATCTACTATAAGGATAGGTTAGTGCTGACCATATGAGTAAGATGTATGGTAGTGGCCATTAAACACAGCCCCCATCATCGCCAACTCTTTTCCAAGCCATGGTAAGCCACTACAATGAAAACATTTCAACCTGTTCTTTACTCCCACAGCTGAACTATACCTTTCTTTCCCATTTACAATAAGATTCCTGTTTCTTTACCAAACATCACTGAATGGGACCTGTGACAAGGGGGTCATCTCAAGGCCATTCACAACATCAGCTGCCTACCTGTCTAGGGCAGTCCACCCTGCCTTTCCTGCCACGCCTTGATATATCAAACTAGATAGAAAATGTTGGAGGCTGCCCATTTTATTGCCTTGATGCCAAGGAACAAATATACGGCTCCAAACCTCCCCTTACCCCAGGGCTGGGAAATTATTTTGGGTAGAGGGCTGCTTACTGAGTTTTGGCAAGCCATTGAGGGCCACATGACAGGCAGCCTAGGGCAGATGAATATTAATTTTCTAAATTTTTTAGGGGCTCTGCAGGCTGGATAGAATGGCCTGGTGGCCCACATCTGGCCCCTGGGCTGCATTTTGCCCATCCCTGCCTTGCACCATGTTCCAGGCCTTGCAGATGGCATCCAGATCCACTATTACTCCTCCTGGCTCCTTAGGTGGGCCACACACAGCCTCTGGCCTAAACCTGGCTTCAGGCATCCTCAGACATACCTTGGCCACATGCCCCCTACTGGGATATCTACTCTGCCTTGCCTTGCACTGGGGCCTCTACTCCAGCCATTCTATGCATAGTCCTTCAGGCCCCCACATATCCTATGCTACTCTATGCAGCCTCTGGCTTTCTGTCCCACACCAGGCCAAACTCAGCCTCTAGCCCCTCTCTGGGATGCTACTCTTCCCTTTACTAGGGCCATTTCTCTGCCCCTCACTGGGCTGCTGGGCCTTACACCCCTTGGCCCTGTCTCAGGCCCTACTTAATTGGCCTGGACCCTATGCTTTTCTGTCGGGGTGTGCTCCCCTAGCCTTTTCCCTCCATGCCAAAAGGCAGCAAAGGCTGAGGCTATATGGCATCTCATCCTTGCCTTTCACTGGGGAGCCCCAGGTGCAGCATTTCCTGGAAACTGCTCCACCACAGGCAGCTCCACCACACTATCCAATCTGAACAGGGTGCAGTTTCAGGTCTTACCCAGGACCAGGAACCTCCTCCATCCGCATAGTGTTCCAGGTGTTCTGGGAGCTGTAGTCTGCAGGCCAAGTGATGTTGTTCCTCTGGCTCCCTAGATGCAACTACCAGCTCTGCTCCTAGGGCCTGGGCTTATATTGAAGTTGCCCAGCCTTCCTCTAATCCAATGGCCCCCTTTCAGTCATGTGACCATGTAATAGGGACAGGCCACACCTGCTGGCTGCTCCACAGCCTGCTTAAGCCCCTTAAAGTGGTGGGCAGCAAACATGCCCTGCCACAGGCCCCAAACAGTTGACCCACAATCCCTCTGTTGCCTCCTCTCTCAGCCTGTCACATATGATTGATGTGGTGCACCCTCCATGACTTGAGACCAAAACAGGTTTCCTTTGCGTCATCTGCATGTAAATGTTTGGAGCATCCCAGGACTTGTGACAAAAACACCTGGTTCCAGTCACAAGTGGGAGCTAATTAGCATAAGGATCCTTTGTGGGGAGTATGTGGAGAACACACACATACTGAGCAGTGCTGAACTGTGGGATCACCATTGCTTGAAACGCTGCCAACTGCTGGGGTCTAGCCCAATGAATTATATGGTAAATCATGAGCCTTTTGGCTTTGGACTACTGTCATGCATAGTTGTTTGGGACTGAAAGAGATGCAAGGCTATAACAAAAACGTGGAAGGCATCATGGAGGAGATAGCAGGGATCATCTGGAAGAGAATGGACTGTTGCAGACTGTTCAGAGGCAGGCCCCCTGAAGAGAGCAATGATGATGGCGATGATGTTGATGGCAATGATGACAAAGGTGGAGGAGACAACAAGAGAGAAGAAAATAAAGGTGACAACAGCAATGACAGAGACAAATGAAAGAACAGAAAGAAATAGACAGGGGTAGGGGAGGAGGGAGAGGGGGTGGGATAAGCTTAGGGTGTAAGGAGACGTTGCATGTCTTTGTGATGGGCAAGGGTGATGGTGATGGCCATGTAGATGTGCAGACATGTGGGAGTGGGAGTGCACAGAGTGGATATCATGACAAGAATGTGTATGATGAAATGTAAATGATGGGTTTTGGACTGTCAGGTGAGCCACGATCACCATGGTAGTTTTCCTAGGGTAAGGCCTACTCCTTGCACTCTGGGCATGCTGACCCCTGCAGGTTTCCTTAGTGCAGGAAACCTGACTACACAATGTTGTGGTAATGGGGGACTGCATTCTAACTTTCCCTCTGGCTTCCTCCTTTCAGCCTTTTTGGCTAGGAACCAGTAAGACTAGAGGGCATTCAAACTCCAAGGCCTCTAGGATTGGAGCTTGCATACAGGATGCTGCTGTGGATTTGGGGAGTGATGAGCCCTGGACTGATGAGTCTGTGATGGAAGATGCTTGCCCGGTGGTAGAGCCACATGGATTTGAATGATTGAGCTCTGCTCAGTTGAAACTTGGAACTTGACTATTGGGCTTTTCCCAGTAGAATTTGGAACTGATTTGGCCCTTGCAACATTTTTAAAAGTCTGCCCTATAGAGAAGAAGGTACACAAGTGCTTCTTAAAAGAGTACCTGTGCTAAAACTTGCAGCAGTTTCAAAAAAGGTAACATATCAATTCTGGATTAACTAAATCTATGGGTACTATATGCAAATTACTACAGATATGTTTAATTTCAAGGTTAGTGTTTTCAAATTTGTTCCTCATGTCCGTGTGTGCAGGGAGAGCAGGGTCTGACAGTAAGGAAGGGGAAAAGGGGCTTCAGGGGGAAGAAGTAGCAGGGAGGCAGAGGGCAAGGGGGCTACCTGAACCCCAAGATTTATTTGTCCTGCTGCAACAGTGGGAGGGGGACAAATTCAAGGCAAACCTGCAATAATTAGATGCTATACCTGGAAAATATAACAAATGTATTAATTTACCATATAACATGTAATTGTTGGAGGGGTCATCTTATAACCAGAGTTGTCTTATATTTGAGTAAATATGGTATTTCACTTAATACTGTTATTACTAATAAACATATATTTAGGGCTCAGATGGTTAGGAACAAGTACTCTGAGGGTGTGTATTAGGTGCAGCTAGAAAACAATGATTTTATTCTTCATGGTTCTCTCCCAAACTGACACGAAGGCCACCAGCAAGAACTGCTGCACTATTATCGCATTGTGCTCTAGTGATACATATTATTAGTATTTACAGTACCATCCAGGTGTCCTGGTCTCCAGTATGGTAGACCCCACAGATATACAGTGCTTGCTGTCAAGTGTTTCTGATCCCTGAATATAGGTGGTGTGAGGATGGGCAACTCTGTATAGGTCTTTAGGCAGCTGTCCAAAATTGCAACCTTTTTGTTTATGAGGGTGTTTCCCTCTTTGTATCTCCCTGAAGCATTAGTTAGAAAATCTGTGATAAAGCCAATTCAGGACTGTAGCACAAGTATTTTTAATTCTTCAGCATCTGTTATTCATCCTTCCTTATTCTCTTGCTAAAAATAGTTCCAGTCAGGTTTAAAATAAAAAACCACACCACGTGATCTAGGGATCCAACAACACAGCAAGCTTAACAAATTAGGCCAAATTATAAAAGCATTATTAATATAATACAAAATGTTATTGATTCTTGTAGCAGAAAGATGCTGGTCAGTATCAATATCTGGGTCACTCTAAATAATGAATTGTCTGAGGACTAGCACCTCCTACCCTTACTCATGGGACATTTTATGAAGTAGGATGTTACTCATCATGAGCAAGGGAGACACAATGTAGCCCACAGTAAATACATGAAGTAATGACCAGTTTATCTGGCAAATTATTCTCAGGCAAAAATACATGTTATATGTACTGGAGATTTGTTATGTATTTATTTTTCAACAAATAATTTAATTATTTCTTCTCAGCAAGGTCACGCTTGAGGTCTTTCCTATCTCCTCCGTCCTCTTCCTGATGAGAGTGTGATATCACATGTCCCATCTTATATTTAAGCTCATCATTTGAAGCTGTATTATTAGTATTTTTTGCAAAATCTCAGCTGCTTTTGTTGTAAAAATGAAAAGATATTGGGTCCCTGCCAATTAAGTAAATGGAATTGCAATTTCTGTTTACAGCAATAGCCATCTCTGACTTCTATTCATAATATTTTTTGTTAATGCAAATAAAATGACTTAGCACTAGCTGGAAATAATAACTGGTTTTATGAGAAAATATGAGTGTTAAAAAGTTCAGTCTTTCCAGCAAGATCACAGCTATTTTGGTTTTGTCATACAAATTTTGGAGCTTATACGCATTGCTGGAGATTCCTACCTTTCCAAGGACACCAAATTCCCATCTTTTTTCTCTTCCTTTGGGGCTGGTTACTTAATGAGCCCTATCAAGGAAATGCCTAGGGACAAATTTTCCCTCTGCTTCCCTTGCCTGCTTTCCAGCTGGAACCCTGAATCCAATTAGAAAAGCATTAAGCAGTGGTAAAATGCACTAAACTGGGAGTGGGTTTTTTTTCAGAACTAGATCATTTAATAGAAGACCAGGAAGTTGTGACTACAGTATATACCAAGAAAACTTGCAGAAAGAAGCTAGTATAACAGTTAAGGTGTTTTTATGTACTTGTTCTGGGAGGTTAAAATTTGTAATAAAATCTACACACCTACAGATTCTATTAAAATAGAATGAATAATGTTTAATTACTTTAATTTAACAATAGAACATGTACATCTTCAAAACTGACATCAAATTTAATATTTTGGGGGAGGGATTTGATTCATTGCCGTTCATTCGCAGAATGATCCCATGTCATTTAACTATTCAGCAATGACTAGTGATTTGAGGTGATTCAGGTCTGGCTGTCATACAACACACCTTAAAATGGTTGACATTTAGATCAAGTGCTTAGTACTTTCCAAATTCAGGACCATATTAGGTAGAAAACAATAAGCAGAGGTGTCTGCAGCAGGTCCTAGCTACCAAGGGCAGCTGTGATACCCCCTGGTGGCCAAGCTACCCCTGCTTCACCTCAGCTCTACAGGGTACCCTCTGCTGTTTGTCTTGCCCACCATGCCTTGATGTACATTTTAGTCCTTTAGCAGGCTGCCATAGGGCCCTGAAGTGAGCCTCAGCTAACCTCTCTTTCTCCCTGGCTTATGCCCAGCCAACACCAGTATTGCCCTCAAGCACTATATTGCCTTAAGAGTATTAATCATGGCCTCCAGCCACCCCCATAGCCATGCTCATATTTTGTGGATGACACTATTCAACAGCCTATATGGGCTTCAGCCCTCTTGGCTTTAGCACACTGGTTGCTCTCACTGGGCACGTCTACATAAGATACTTAATGTACTGAAGACTAATTCTACCATGCATTACAGCTGGCAAAAACATGCTAATGTGCAGTAGATAGTCTAATGCACATTAACATCACCAAAAAAGCATTCATCTCTTGTTAATATGCAGCAGCGGCAATTACAGTGCATTAAGTATAGTACCTGTCATTACAGGTACTATACTTAATGCACCATAATTGCTGTGCATTAATGAATGTGTAGACGCACCCATTGTAGACTTCTAGACTAGGCTTCCAATCTTCTCTACAGCCACAATCTGGTCCCCTGGTTTAAACTGCAGCACAAATGCAAGCAAACTGCTCCTACAAATGCTCCTACAAAAACACAAAGCCCCCTTCTGGGCCTTCATACTGCTGCTGAAGCCACCTCCTCACCTACTGACTCTTTTAGCCCCTGGGAGTACCTGGTCTAGCTAGCACAGGGGTGGGCAAAATATAGCCCGTGGGCCGCATCCAGCCCACGAGGCCATTCTATCCGGCCCATGGGGCCTCTGAAAAATTTAGAAAATTAACATCTGTCCTTGGTTCCTGTCAAAAATGACAGAAACCAGGGGCAGTAGGACACATGGGAAGCCTGGCAGGCCCCCGCAACAGCAGTGCCCACCTGGCCCCATCTCCCCAGCTGGAAGCCCCATTTGGGGCTTCTGGCCTGGGACCATGTGGCTGCACAGGCATGGGAAGCTCAGGTAAGTGGTGGGGAAGGGCAGGGGAGGACCCCGGGTAGGGAAGTAGCCTGGGGAAAAGTGGCTCCTTGCCTGCCCCATGCCCCATGCTCCCTGCTGCAGCCACTCGCAGCCCACACAGGGCTGTTCTGAGCAGGCACAGGCCGGCCCAGGCAGGCTGTTTCCTGTGCTTAGCACCTGCTTGTAACCCAAGGTGGCGGCAGTGCAGGGCACCAGCCACGGGGCGGGCGTGGGGCTGCATTTCCCCTGCAGTCAGCACCAACTTGCAAACTGCCCCCACTGCCAGCCTGGGCCCCATGCCAGCTCCAGGCTCGCCTGTCAGGAATGCGCACGGCAGCATTAGCTGCACCCCCCAGGCTTGCCGTGCAGGTCAATGTTTGCTGCTGTTGCCCATCCGGAGCTCATGTGCTGGGCAGCCAAGAGGCAGCGGTGGCAAACACTGCCCAGCATCACAAGCAGATGGGCCGCAGCTGCTGCCGTCCTGCACAGCCCCAACAGGCAAGCCTGGAGCCGGTGCAGGGCCCAGGCTGGCTTCAGGGGTGGGTTACAGGCTGGTGCTGAGTGTGGGAAAAGTGACCTCTCTCCTGCCCTGTGGCCAGTGCCCCATGCTGCAGCCGCTCACAGCCCCATGGGGCTACCAATGCCGGCTCAGGACAGCCCCATGCAGGCTGCAAGTGGCTGCAGCAGGGGGGGGGAGGGGCTGCTTTTCCCCGCACTCAGCACCAGCTCATTACCTGCCAGTGAACATGGGGTTGGGGCTGCATACTGCCCCCAGTCTATACCACGGAGCTAGGGAGCACTGGGAGTGAGTGGGAGCACAGGGACCACACTGGTGTCCCAGGAGCAGTGCCACTGGGATCCAGAGCATGGTGGCAGGAATATAGGGTCCCAGCCAGCAGGGGCTCTCTGGAGCTAGGCCAGCTCCCCCTCTCCCTGCTGGTGCAGCCCAGCCTGGCTCCACAGACCCCCGCCAGCCTGCACCCTGCTCTGAGCCCCACTAGTGCTGGCCCTGAGACATTGGTCCCAAGATGGCGACCAGGGGGCAGGGCACCTGTCAAGGGGCGGGGCTACCCATGCAGCCCTCAACAGCTTGCCAAAACTGTGTAAGGAGCCCTCCACCCAAAATAATTGCCCGCCCATGAGCTATCAGCTTCCGCTTCTTCTAGCTTAGGCTGGTAGGAGCTGGCAAGCAAAGCAATGTTGCCTATGTAGTTCAGGGCAACACTAGTCT